CTGGTGCTCGGTGCCTGCCCAGTCAGCCCGCGGCGCGAAGCCGAGCTCGGCACGCGCCGCGCCTCGTGCTGCTCGCGCGCCTCCTCCTCCCCGCCCCCGTCCTCCCACCCGCCGCCGCCCCTGCCGCCCAGCCGTCCTCCCCGCCCCACCCTCCCCGAGGTCGGGAGGGCAGCATCGCCTCCGCACGCTCACCCCGCGAAGCTCCCACTCGCGGTCCGCCCCTGGGGGCTCGCACTCGTGCTCCTCCTCCCTGCCTCGCGAGGTCCTCTCCTCCTCCTCCTCCTCCTCCACCTCCTCCTCCTCCTCCTCCTCCTCCTCCCTTCCTCCTCCTCCCTTCCTCCTCCTCCTCCTCCTCCCTTCCTCCTCCTCCCTTCCTCCTCCTCCTCCTCGCCCTCGCCCTCGTCCTCGTCCTCGTCCTCGTCCTCGTCCTCCTCCTCCCCGCCCCGCCCCTGCGAGCGCAGGTGGTACTTCATCGAGGTCCTCTTTTCGCTCGCCTTCCTGGTCGAGCTCGTCTGCAGGCGCGCCGCCGCCCCGGCCCTCGCCGCCTGCGCGCCGACGCGTCGGGCGAGGGCACCCTCTCGGGGGGCGCGGGAGGAGGGCTCTCGGCTCCTGCCGGGAGGCGGGCGACGCGGAGGAACGGCGGAGACGTCCTCCTCAGCAGGCGGGCGGAGCTTCTCAGAGGAGCGCTCGCGCCCTCTGGGCAGAAGTGTTGTTTTCGGCGTCGTCGGGGAAGGCTTAGATGTGTAGAGCACTTCTCGGCGGGCTGGAGGGCTCCCGAGCCTTCTGGAAAGGCCCGCTCCTCCTCGCTGCTCCCCGGGCTCGCCGCCCATCCAGGGGCGGGGGAGAATGGCTGGGCCCCTGCGGGTAGGTGCATGAGCTTAGTTGCCTCGGTACGCCCGTCTTGAAACGCAACACGTCCCGTGTTCAAGACGTCCGTGTTGATACGCTGCCTATTGGCTGAGCATATTGGCCCACGTTTTGGCGAAGATATCGCATCGGACCCACGTTTTCAGCCTACGTGTTGAGCTCGGTATCAATACGATACGTGTTGCGTGTTGCGTACCGGGGCAGCTAAGGGCATGAGGCGTTCCCTCTGCACAAGTGCCGGGAGGGGGGGGCCGATCCCGCCAAGAGGGCAAAGGGGCTTAAGGGACGCGGGCCCTGGAGGCCCTGGGTCGGCTTCGGCCGTCCGACAGCGACTCAGGATGATCGGGTTGACCCAAAAGGGGGTCCAGCGACAAGGGGGTGGTGCAATAGATTTGGTGCAATAGATTGGCTGGGTTTCAGTACATTTGGGGCGTGCAATACATTCCGGAGCGCAAGTGTATTGCTGGATTCTCGCGTGCAATGCATTCGTTGCAATACAATGCAATACAATTCTCTGGCGTATTCATTTGCAATACACTTGCCCCAAATCTATTGCACCACCCCCTTGCAGCTGGACTCCCTTTTGGGTCACCCAAACATGAGAAGCTGGCCCTGGGCAAAAGCCCTGGGATCCAATCATCGTTTGCCTCAGGCCAGTGTCTCTTTCAGAAACTATTTGCGTGCACAGCGAGGCTAAGGGCCACGCTTCTGGTTCGCATCGCCGCTGGAAACCTGCTGCTTTTGTTGCCCGTTTGGGGTTGGGTGGCGGGAGCGCGAGGTTTATGGGGGAGACACCGCAAGTCTTCCGCACAGCTTTCCAGGGCTCGGTGGATAGCTTCCCGAGGCCCCCTGGGCCTTCCCTTCCTCCGGGGGTCGGCGTGGGGTCATCCGGGGGCTCCCTGGGAACCTCCCGAGGCCTCCTGGACCCTCCTGCGCCCTCCCCGTTGCTTCTTGGGTCTCCCCAGCCCCCTCAGAGCTGCTGGGGCTTCCAGGGCCTCCGTTTGGGGCCATCCTGGCCCCCGTGTGGCTCCCTTGGGGCCCTCCTGGAAGCCCTGGGGGCGCTTTTCGGGGGCCCTCGTGGAGGCCATCGATCCAAAGAGGGGGGGGGGGTCGCCGACGTCGGGCCCCCCCGTCAGGAGGAGGAGGAGGAGGGGAGGAGGAGGAGGAGGAGGAGGAGGAGGAGGAGGAGAGGAGGAGGAGGGAGGAGGAGGAGGAGGAGGAGAGCAGGAGCAGGAGGAGGAGGCTTCAGGATCGCCTCGTGGGGCCCTCCGCTCTTTGGGGCGCTCCTCGGGGCTGCCCTGAGCCCGCCGCGCTGCGCCCCGCGGACGGGGCGGTGCGCGCCCGCCGCAGCCGCGGGCCCCGGCAGCCCCCGCCGCGCGGAGCGCCCCCGCGCCGCCGCGGCAGCAGGCGGGCCGCCGCCGGGCCCTCCTCCCTTCCGCGTCTGCCGCCGCGCTGCTCCTCCTCCTGGTCCTCAGCCCTCCTCCTCCTCCTCCCCTCCTCCTCTTTCGCCTCCTGGTCCTCCCCCTTCTCCTCCTCCTCTTCCTCCTCCTCCTCCTCCTCTCTCCTCCTGCTCCTCCTCCTCTTCCTCATCCTCCTGCTCCTCAGCCTCCTCCTCCTCCTTCTCCTCTTTCTCCTCCTGGTCCTCCCCCTTCTCCTCTCCTCCTCCTCCTCCTCCTCCTCCTCCTCCTCCTCCTCCTCCTCCTCGTCGTCCTCTTTCTGCGCCCTTCTCCTCCACTTCCTCCTCCTCCTCTCCTCGGGCATCCCCAAATGCGAGAAGGCCAAAATCATTCAAGCCCTTCGTAACATGTACGATTTTGGCCTCTTGGGGCTCTTGCGGGAGTCCTAATAGAGCGCTCTTGGGACCTCTTTGGGCCCTGTTGGGAATCACCTTCTGGCGCCTTGGAGCACTCTTGGCTTCGGCAATGCGAACACGGCGTGCTTTGCAAAGGTTTATGGCTTCGGGGACGCGAGTATTGTGTAATTGGCTAGGGTTTGCCTCGGGGACGCGCATGTCGCGTAACTTACGAGGGTTTATTTCCTCGGGGACGCAGCACTTGCGTAATTTTCGAGGGTTTGTGGCCTCTGGGACGCGACTATTGCGGAAATTAAAAGGGATTATGGGTTCGGGGACGCGAATCCCACGTATTTTTATGTGTCCCACGCCCCTCCCCAGGAATTCAGGCAACGCGAGTCGGGCGTGGTAAATTAGATCCTTTGGGCTCCCCCCCCCTCGCGCGGACTTTCACAATTTACTGTAGGCAGCAGAACGCAGGACTGTAACATTGGAGACTTGAAACTGCATCTGGTGCAGGGAGCAGCAACTTCGGCATACAGCCTGGTGGCCCCACAAGGGGGGCCGGCGGACCCTTGTATCCTTCCCTTCGGCCCATCCTTGGCCGCTTGCGCTGGCCGCGCCCCGCCCGCAAAGTGTCGACATGGCCTCCCAAGGCCCTTGCATCCTTATCGTGCGTTCCTGTAATACGGGTTGGCTGTACCTTCTCCCAGGGACTCACAGAGAGGGAGCTTAAGGCGGAGGTTCCGCGCAAGACCGTCGATGCGTCTTGAGCTTTGCACTGGTCCTCCTCATCGTGCCGCGCGGGTCCGGCGCCCGTGAGCCAGCGTGTATTGCCTCTCCCTGTCTGGCCACCAGACGTGTCGTTGGAGCGGTCCTGGCATCTCGCCCGAGACTTCCTCACAACTTGTGATCCCGAAGCGTGAACTTTCCAACCGCTGCGCGGGTGGAGCACATGTCGTCTTTTCCACATGTGGCGCTCGCCTTGGCGCCGCGCTTTTGTTCGCTTCACTCTCTTGCTCACGTCGTACGGGTGTGAGACGTGTGGCCTGTCAACGTGAGCCTCTGACCGCAGCGCCGCGCACACTCGTTCTAACAACTTGCACCAGTTGCACGGGGGGGGCTGCGGTTCATTCTCGAGACGAGGCTCCCGCTTGATGCATCCCCAACAATTCTTTGACCCGAAGCTCTTGTCAGTGCAGGTGTTGAGCGGGACTGGCGACGTCGGGGTGGAGAAAATTGAGCCCCACATCGAGCCGCATCGCCGATGCACCGCCGATGCACCGGCAATGCGGCGCGATCCTCCGACGCCATCTACTCCGACCCCAAAGGAGGAGGAGGAGGAGGAGGATGAGGAGGAGGAGGAGGAGGAGGAGGAGGAGGAGGAGGCCCAGAGTCCACATCCTCAATTCGTTGTCCCTCCGTGAGCTCCTGTCTCTCGCCTGAGAGTTCCCGGGATCCGACGACAGGCGCTCTGGAAGTGGTGCGGCGTCTCCACGGGGGGAGGGCGGACCCCTTCTACTGGCGGAACTTGCGCTTGGCATCTCCCAGGGATCTCCTCACCCTCCCTCTTTATGCTCAAAAATAATTAAAAGTTCATCAGGGGACGATTTTTTTGTGCGTGTTTTGAGCATTCGTTGAGCATTTTTAGTCTATTTTTAATTTTTTGTTCAGAATCCCTCTTTCATTGTCGGCTAGCTTTAAATCGTGCCTGTCCCTCTGCAGGAGGAATACTCAAACATAGTATTAACAAATAGTCAGGGGGCGATTTTTTGGCGTATTTGGAGCATTTGTTGAGCATTTTTTGTATACTTTTAGTTTTTTGTTCAAAATCCCTCTTTCATTGTCGGCTAGCTTTAAATCGGGCCTGTCCCTCTACAGGAGGAATGCTCAAAAATAGAAGAAATATCCAGGGGACGATTTTGTTTGCGTCTTTTGAGTATCTGTTGCGCATTTGTTTGGCTATGTTTGGTTTTTCGTTCCAAATCGTTCTTTCGGGGGACAGGCCCGACCTAAGGCCAGCTGGAAAATTGGACAGTGGGCCCTTTTCGAAGCGGTGTCTTACCCGAGCGGTAGGCCCACGGGGCGGCGGAACACCTGGGGAGGCTGTCTGCCGCAGTGCAGAGGCACAGGAGTCGGTGCACTGCAGCATCGTTGATGAATCTTGCGTTTGCTCTGGTCTTCCTCCTGCTCCTCCTCCTCCTCCTCCTCCTCCTCATCGCTTCACTCCCTTCTTCACTCCTTCCTCCTCCTCCTCCTCCTCCTCCTCCTCCTTCCTCCTCCCTCCTCCTCCTCGCTTACCTCCCTCCGCCTCTCCTCCTCCTCCTCCTCCTCCTTCTCTCCTCCTCCTCCTCCTCCTCCTCTCTCCTCCTCCTCCTCCTCCTCCTCCTCCTCCTCGCTCCTCCCTCCTCCTCGCTCCTCGCTCCTCGCTCCTCGCTCCTCCTCCCTCCTCTCGCCTCTCAGCCGCGTCGCCCCGCCCGCGCGGGGATGATCTACTCGGTGGAGGGCCGGGCCTTCGAGAACTTCCTCACGCGGCGGGGCGTCGCGAGCCTTGCCAAGTTCACGGCGGGGCGGGGGCTCGCGGGGCCCGCGCCCCCCAGCTTCGCTCGGGGAGGGGGAGGCTAATGATCAGGCGATCGCAAGCATGGATCAATCAGTACCGTTTCAACCGAGCCCCATCCCCATCCCCATCCCCTTCGAGACCCCCACCAAATTACCCCCCCCCGTTGGGGATACACCCTTCGAAACCCGCAGGGAACGGCCTATATCCCCATCTAGGGGGGTAATCGGCCAGTGGGGCCCAGGCCACACCGTTGGGGATGGGGGTCGGATAAACGATGCTCAATCAAGGGGGCGTGGACTAGCGACGGGTCCCGTTTGGGAACTCGCGGATTCCCGCCGCCGAGCGAGGCGGCACCGGCCGCGTTTTGGGGAGGGTAGCTCCCCCGACTTGGCGACCGCGCGCCAAATCCATGGATCGCTGATTCATGCTTGCGCGCCCCCAAGAAGAGGCGGAGGCGCGCAAGGATGAGGGGGAGATGCCTTCGGAGGGCAACAGCGCTGCACCTGCACCGCTCCTGCCATGCGCCTGGCAAGGATGGGCGTGGGTGTAGAGTTTGCGTCCTCCCAGTTGCCTCCTTCTCCTCCCCACCGTGCCTCCTCCCTCCCGCATCCTCGACCAGGCGTCGCGCAGACGGCTGCAAGACTGAGTCCGTCCAGCCATCCTCGAGCGTCGCTTCCTCCTCCTCTTCCTCGCCCCCGCCGCGGCTGCGCCGTTGGACGTGCAGGTGGTGCAGAAGAGCACGCACATGGCAGAAAGGGCAGAAAAAAGGCGACGTCCTCGTCCTCATCGTCGTCATCGTCGTCGTCGTCGTCGTCGTCGTTGTGGTGGTGGTGGTCGTCGTGGTCGCCGTCGTCGTCGTCGTCGTCGTCGTCGTCGTCGTCGTCGTCGTCGTCGTCGTCGTTGTCCTCTTCCTTGTCCTCGTCCTCGTTATCCTGGTGGGCGTTGTGGGCGTCGTTGGAGGGCCCAGCAGCCAATCCAGAAACGATGCCCGCTTGAACAGCCAAGAGAGGGGAAGTAGACCTGCATGCAGTGAAAGACAAATCCCAATAGTGCTGATTTTCTATACCTCAGAGGTCCTCTTGGAGTCGTCTTGGAGGTCTCTCAGGGCACCTTCGGGAATCTCGGAGGCCCTCCAACCCCGGCGGGCCTTGGGGCGCCCTTTTGAGGGCTCTTGGGGCCCTCTGGGGCATCCTTCGGAAGCTCCGTCTTGGAGTCCTTCTGCCGTGTGGGAGCGCTTTTGGAGCCGTCTCGGAGGCTGCCTCGGGCATCTTGGAGGCGTCCGAGAGTGGATTCGGAGGCCTGGGGGGCCTGGGAGATGTGCCAGGGAGCTCGTGCCCCAACCCTCTCAAGCGGCATTCATGGACTCCGGGGAGGCGGAGGTGGACAGCCAATCATCTCGTGCGCCGTCTCGCCCCCGACAAGCGGGGGTCGGCGGATTTGCCGCGAATCTCACCATGTCGAGGTCGTCGGCAAGAGGAGGCGACGCGCAGCTGCCCACATTGAAGATCGCATGCTGGGGGTTTCGATTTTCGGAAGAACGTTTTCTTGACTTCTCGCGATGGGCTGTGCAATGCAGTGGAGGGGTATCGAACCTCCTCGGCTGAAGCGGGGATCCCCGAGTCGTACTGGCATCTGGCAGTAGTGCAGATCGCCCGGCTGTGCATTCGCTGCGCCGTGGGCCGCATGTCGACACGTGAGTAATCCACGGTTCACGCGGACCGATCGTTTGCCCCAGACCGTAGCAGGGAGTAAGATTACCGCAGCAGCGACACGAGCCGCAGAGTTAGATAAGGAAAGAACGTCTCGTTCTTAGGAGCACAGTGTGGGGGCATGGGCCAGGAGCAGGAGGGGGGGAATACTATAAAGAAGCAGAAGAAGGATGACCACAAGGGGCACAAGGAGAAGCATGCCGACATATTGGAAAGAGGGGGTGCCAAGGGCCTGACCGTGGGCGCCAAGGAGCATGCCAAGGAGCCCGAGCCCGTCCTTGTCATTCAGAGCTTGGCTCGTTTTTCCTGCTCCTTCTCCCCTCCTCCTGCTACCTTTCTGCTCTCCCTCCTCGAATTGGTTAGGAACGGTGCTGCAGAAGCACGCCTCCCTCTTCCGCTTTGTTCCTCATGTTTTCAGTTCAAGCCGCGCGCTCCTTCTTCATCTCTGACTCTTGTCTCCACTCCTGTCATTCCGTTATCCATATTTGCCAATTTTGCCGTGAAGCTCTTCACCACTCTTCCTGGTGCTTTTTCGCTTCCTATGTCTGTCTGCCTGTCTACCTGCCTGCCTGCCTGCCTGCCTGCCTGCCTGTCTGTCTGTCTGTGTCTGTCTGTCTGTCTGTCTGTCTGTCTGTCTGTCTGTCTGTCTGTCTGTCTGTCTGTCTGTCTGTCTGTCTGTCTGTCTGTCTGTCTCTCTCTCTCTCTCTCGCACTATCTTTCTATTTCCAGCTGCACATATTGTGCGTACTTCCACGGTATCCTGCATGTCCGTCTCTGCCCGCAACTGCCTCTCCCGCCCTCTCTCCGCACGCATCTTGTCCCCCTCGGTCTCCTCTGTCCCTCGCCCGTTCCTTCTCGCTTCCCTGCACCGCGGATGCTGCGTTCCAACCTGCGACACGAGTGCCGTGCCGTGCCGTGCCGTGCCGTGCCGTGCCGTGCCCGTGCAGTGCCCGTGCCGTGCAGTGCCCGTGCGTGCCGTGCCCGTGCCCGTGCCCGTGCCCGTGCCGTGCCGTGCCGTGGCGTGCCGTGCCCGGATGCCAGAGCGGTGCGACGCAGAACGTGCCGTGGCCGTGCCGTGGCCGTGCCGTGCCGCGCCGATGCACCGGCGTGGGCCCTGTGGGCGTGCTGGGCCGTGGCCCGAGCTGCAGGAGGCGCCGGGAGGGCTGGGCCGTGGCCGCAGCCGTGGCCGTGGCCGTGGCCCTGGCCGTGGCCGTGTCTCGGGAGCGGTCAGGAGGGGGGTGTCACCCCCTGCTGGCCTTGAGTCGGGCCTGTCTATCTTCAGGGGGAACATTTAAAGATAGTAAGAAATAGTCAGGGGACGATTTTTTTGATTTTTGTTGGTGTATTTTTGGGGTATTTGTAATTTGTCGTCCAAAGTCCCCCTGTAGGACAGGCCCGAAAGAATCCTGGCCGATTCGACTCCTCCGACTCCTCCGAGTCGATTTGACTGGATTCCGATGGCTCTCGATTTCGATCTGATTCGGCTTGGGATTCCGATTTTGGTGTGTTCCGATGTCTGATTGGGCGCGTACTAGCTAGCCCGCCGATTTCCGCCGATTCGACTTTTTCCGATTCGGCTGCCGATTTCCGCCGATTCGATTCATTTCGGTCGCCGATCCTACTTATCGCTTCGATTCTGGGCTCTCTTGGGGTGATGACTGGGGGGGATATCATCGCGGGGGCAATGAAGTCTTTCCAGATCTCATGCCGCCTCGGCTTATCTCAATACGTCCCGGGCCCCCTCCTGGGCCGCGCACGTGCCGCCAGCCATGATTTGCACCCCCCCCTCTTGGACGCCCCCCTCTTGGACGCCCCCGTGTGTCCGCGTGTTGAGTCGTGCCGGGTCGGGCCTGACTTCCAGAAGGTGGCACGAGAGTGCGAAAACGTCGCCGTGCTTTGCCCCACTCCTGATTTTCAGGGTGCGAAGAGATGGTGCCATGCCGTGCCGCGCTCGAGGCAGGTGCCGTGCCGTGCCATTCCGTACACAGTTCTCGGATTGCGACATAGCTGCTGCACCGTACCGTGCCGTGCCCGGCCTTCAAGATTTCCAAATGTTGCAGTGCCGTGTCGTGCTGTGTCGTGCCTGGTTTTCAGAATGCGGAAGAGTTGCCGTGACGCGCCGGGCCGGATTTGGTTTTCAGAATGCGAAGAAATTGCCGTGCCGTGCCGACCATGTGTCTGATGATGCAGTGTTGGTGTTTAGGGTCTCTATGCCGGCTTCTGCGAAATGGCGAATGCGATAGGGGGTCTCCGTTAGCATTGAGCATCTTGCCGTGCCCTGCCCGCGTCTTCGAATTGAAAGAATGTGCCCCCCGCGTGCAGTGCCGTGTCGTGCATTGTTTCTAGAGATCGACAAAAAGTGCCTTCCGCCTTGCTGTGCCGTGTCGTGCCGTGCCGTGTCCGCGTGCCGTGCCTTGCTCGCGTGCAGTACCGTGCATGCGTTCTAGAGTGCGCTGCGACATTTGCCACGCCCGCGCACCGCGCCGTGCCTTGGTGTCATGCAGAGGTGCCGCATGCGTGCTGAGCCGTGCTGTGCCGTGCTGTGCCGTGCCGTGCCCGCGTGCCGTGTCGTGCCCATGCGCTGCGCCGTGCCCACGTTCTAGACTGCGTGGGGTGCGACACGGGGGCCGTGCGTGTGCCGTGCCGTGCCCGCGCTTCGTGCCGTGCGTCGTTTTTTAGAAGGCAGGAGGTGTGCCGCCCGCGTGCAGTTGCGCGCCGCGTCGTGCCCGCGCTGGGCGTGTGCCGTGCCGTGCCGTGCCCGCGTGCTGTGCCGTGCCCCCGTGCCGTCCACGTGCACTTCGAGGTTGAGTCACCATGGTCACCATGTGTCTTCTCATGCAGCGCTGCTGCCTTGGTTTGACTCGTCAGTCGATGTGTCTGCCTCTTTCCTCCATCCTCTCTCATGTCTTTCTCCTCTCCCCTCACGCTCAGGTGGACTCTGCCAACACTCTCCTCGTCCTCGCCCTCCCATGCTGCTGCCCTCTCTTCTTCTCTCTTCGCTCTCTCTCTCTCTCTCGGCCCCTCTCATTGAGGTGCCGAGGTGGCCTCGAGTGGCTCGAGAGGCCCCGCTGTGCAGCTTCAGCCTCCGTGGTCCACTCACCCCCACCCCCCAAAACCTCTGCCAGCTCGAACAGAAACACGTCGTCCTCGTCCTCCTCCTCGTCCTCCTCCTCGTCCTCCTCCTCGTCCTCGTCCTCCTCCTCCTCCTTCCTCCTCCTCCTTCTCCTCCTTCTCCTCCTCCTCCTCCTCCCCTTAGTCCTTTTCCTCCTCCTCTTCTCTCCTTCCTCTCCTCCTCCTCCTCCTCCTCCTCCTCCTTCCTCCTTCCTCATCCTCCTCCTAATCCTCCTCCCCCTCCTCGAACAGAAACATGCGCCAGTGTTTCTTCCCCGCAGCATCGGCGTCCGGGGGGCATACCGTGCCCGTCCCAGCCCTGCCCCGGCGCCCCGCGCGCGGCCGACAAGGCAGAGGAGACACCGAGCACCCGGCGCTTCGACGCCACGAGCGCTCCCGGGCGGGGCGTCCGCTCGTCAAGGACGTGCCCAGGAGGCTTCAGTAGGGGGCCACATGCGAACCCTACCCCTACCCCCCACGATTCTGAGGGGGATGGTGGGGTTCACTTCGTTCGGGAGCTCTCGAGCGAAGTGAACCCCACCCTCCCCCTCAGAAATCGTGGGGGGTAGGGGTAGGGTTCGCATGTGGCCCCCTATTCAGGCCCTGGAGAATCCCTCATCCGATGGGGCTGGCGGTGATACGGTCAACCCGCATCGTAAGGATGAGCAACTTTCCCAGGTTGCCCTTGCCTCCCTCCCTTCCGGCCCATCCTGGCCGCTGTCGCTGGCCGCGCCCCGCCCGCAAAGTGTCGACATGGCCTCCCAAGGCCCTTGCATCCTCATCGTGCGTCCTGGTTACAAGGGTCAACTGTATCATTGGCGAAGCCTCAATCGTTGCTCGGCCAGCTTCCAGACCCTGGGTGCCCCATCCAGCGGCTCCCTGCCCGATGCCCCCGCATGTTACGGCCCAGTAGAACGACCCATTTTCGGCGACGTTCGGGCGACGAATGCGCGACGCACCCCTTGTCTTAAGTCGGGCCTGTCCCCCTACAGGAGGACTATTCAAAAATAGGCCAACAAAAAGAGGGGACGAGCTTTGCTTTCAATTTTTTTCTTTCGTCCAAGTCCCACACGCCCGACCTGACCCTTGTCGCGACGGGGGGGGGGATCAGCACGCCGGTCGCACTACTGGGCCGTCACACCCCCACCGCAACCGATCGCCGCGGCCCGCACCCCGAGGGGAGGCGCCAGCGGGGAGGCGCCAGCGCAGGCGCTCGCTCTCCAGAGGCCGCCCCGCGGCGGCGGGTCGGCTCCCCGAGCTCTCGCGCCGCGGCTGCCCGGGCTCGGGCCTCCCAGGTTGAAGTCGGGCCTGTCCCTCTACAGGGGGACCATTCAGGCAGACTGCAGATAGAATGGGGGGCGATTTCCTGTATATTTTTGGGCACTTGTTGGGTATCTTTGGGATCTATTTTTTTTTGTTCGTCCAAGATCCGTCTGTAGGGGGACATGCCCGACCTAATCCCAGACGGGGTCCGAGCAGGTAAGGTCGGAGGGTTGCGCCGCGTCGCCGGTGCGTTGTCGATGCGGCTCGATGTAGAGCCCGATGTTCTCTCCACGCCGATGGCGCCGATGCATCGCTGGGACATCGCCGGTGCATCGCCGATGCACCGGCGATGCGTCGCCGATGTATCGGCGATGCGGCGCGGTCCTCCGACCCCACCTTCTCGGACCCCATCCAGGAGGCCACTACAGGAGATGGTGCGATAGGGGGCAGCGCCGGTGAGTGAAAGGGCCCCGAGCCAGCTTCCTTCTGATCCCAAGTTGCCGCGATGTCTCATGGCGCCAACATCGCAGAGCGGATTTCTTTCGGAAAACGATAGGATGGGCCGGAGTGTCCTGTCAGGCAGTAGAACTACTGGAAATTGGAAGCTGGAAGCAGCATTAGACTTATGGCTGGGACCGGGCAGCTCAGGACTGGTACCTACGTTGCTGAAACCCGTGCCTCGCAGCCTGGTGGCCCCGCAAGGGGGCTGGCGGATATGTCTATACCTCCCCCCCTCATTCGTTCCCTCCCTCCTCGTCTTTGTTGTCATCTTCGTCCTTCTCCTCAAAACATCATACGCTGGCCTCCTCTTCTTCTTTTCCTACTTCTCTCCTCCTACTCCCTCTGCCTCGAGGAGTTGGCAATAGCGCAGCTGAAGAAGAGGACGGCGGAGATCATCCAGCAGAGAAGAACCTGCAGTCAACTGGCTGGGTATGGGACGTGTTGTTTCATTGGCCGGTGGGCGGATCGGGAAATGGTGACGATGACGGAGTGAAGCGACTGGTTCCACACAAAGGTTTTTGTGTTGTGTGTTGTGTGTGTGTGGGAAACGGATACATGAGGACGACGATGAGGATGCGGATTCGACTGAAGGTGTTGTGATGATGAGGATGACGAGCAAGATGCTGCTGCTGCTGCTGATGTTGCTGATGCTGCTGCTGATGATGATGACGATGATGATGATGCTGCTGCTGATGATGCTGCTGCTGCTGCTGCTGCTGATGATGATGATGATGATGATGATGATACTGATGATGCTGATGCTGATGGTGATGATGATGATGAGGAGGAGGAGGACGGATGGCCCAGGAGCACATAACGATTTGGACATCGAGCGTCCGCCGACGGCAGGCCTCCGCTGGCGCTGGACTCCTCGCCGCACCCCTGGGGCGGCGCTGCGGGCGTAGTCCCAGGGCGCGCTTCGCGAGCCAGGCTCGGGGGTTACGCAAGGTGCCCTTGGCCCAAGGTGCCCCCAGCTCGTTCCATTCTGGAGCCCCTGGGGCCCTTTGGACCTTGTGACGGGGGGCTCTGGAGGCCGTGGGGGCCTCCCTGGAAATCCTGGGGGCACATGGGGCCAGGGGCACTTCAAGCAACACCCGACAGGTAGGGGTGTTCGGAGGGGGTTCAGCGTCACTGGAAGTCTTCCGTCCGCGGACGTCCGAAGTTAGTGTTTGTGCGCTCTTCCGCCCTCCCGAGCTTGGCTGGAGAGCCCCCAAACTCTCCCTCCTCCTCCTCCTCCTCCTCCGCCTCCTCCTCCTCCTTCTCCTTCTCCTTCTCCTCCTACCTCCTCCCTGGGCAACGTGGTGATGAAGAGGAGATGGCGGAGGAGGAGGTTGAGGAGGGGGAGGAGGACGGAGGGAGGAGGAGGAGGAGGAGGAGGAGGAGGAGGAGGAGGAGGAGGAGGAGGAGGAGGAGGAGGAGGAGGAGGAGGAGGAGAGGAGGAGGAGGGGAGGAGGAGTGTAGGGAGGAGGAGGAGGATGGAGGAGGAGGAGGGAGGTAGAGGAGGAGGAGGAAGGAAGGGAGGGAGGGAGGAGGAGGAAGGAGAGGAGGAGAGGAGGATGAGGAGGAGGATGAGGAGTAGGAGTCAAGCTAGGCCAGCTCGAGCGAGTCAACGCATGGCTATGCCCAGTCCCACCCGGGCACATACCCAAAAACATCAAGAAAGAAAAACCTGGCACAACTGGGGGGCCGAAGTGGCCGAGGTCACACCGGCCAGCCGGGTTGGTACAAAGCTGATGCGGCCCGCGATGGCGGGTTCGCCGACGGGGGGGAAAAACTGGCGAGCGCGTGTTTTTTGAATGCCGCGCACGCATTGCCAGACGAGTCGAGAATGGCCCGGTTTTACACCGCCGGAAGCCAGAGGTCGGCCGGAGGAAGCCCGGGACGGTAGGAGTCAAGCTAGCCAGCTCGAGCGAGTCAAGCATGGCATGCCCAGTCCCACCCGCCCTCCCACAACATAAGAAGCAAAGCTGGCACAACTGGGGCCGAAGTCACACCGGCCAGCCGGTTTGGTACAGCTGATGCGGCCGCGATGGCGGTTGCCGACGGGAACTGGCGAGCGCGTGTTGAATGCCGCACACGCATTGCCAGACGAGTCGAGAATGGCCCGGTACACCGCGGAAGCCACAAAAAGAGGGGGAACAGGAAAGAAACAGGGGGGGGGGGGTGGTGGCGCGGAGGAAGCCCGACGGTCTGACAGGATACCCCGAGCATTTTGTTGAAAAGCTATTGGTTTTTGATGTTTTTATGTTTGAAATGCTGCAGACAACACGGTGTTCGGTAGGATTCTGACATGAACGCGCGAGTGTGCTCTTTGTGGTATTTTTTGCACAGGATTCGCGTCCCTCGGAATCAGACAGAGCATCGCGAGTGCACCGCGCGATGACGTGAAATCGCTGGATTTGACCGAACTTCTTAATTCCTATGGTTTTCTATGATTTCAGCAAGAGAGCCCGGGCGGGAAATTTGTAGATTGTTTTGTGAAAAAGCTTGGGGTTTTTGATGTTTTTATGTTGAAATGCTTGCAAACACACGGTGTTCGGTAGGATTCTGACATGAACGCGCGCGTGTGCTCTTTGTGGTATTTTTTGCAATGGATTATCGCCGTGGACGACAGGACGTCCATGTCGAGAGGAAAAAATAAGAAAAATGTTGATTTTGTATTGTTTTTTACAGGTTAGGATGGGACCCCCCGGATGCGGCCCCTAATGGCCGGCCTGAGGGGGGAGTAGGAGTATATTCTAATAAGGAATAAGGATAGGAGGATGAGGAGGAAGAGGAGGAGGAGGAGGATGAGGAGGAGGAGCTGGTGGAGGATGAGGAGGAGCCCTCCCTTCCTACGTCGACGTCTCCCCCCCTGCTGGTACTCCTGTCCACTGACGCTGCGCCCCCTTGTTCCCGGGGAGGCGAAGTGGCACCAGCTCGCGAAAGGCAACTCCAAGGCCAGCACATTGGTCGGAGCGTGTGGCGAAGGAGCAGGAGGAGGCTGGCTGGGAACCGAGCGAGGCAGGAGGTCGAGGACGAGCAGGACGAGGACAACATGAGGCGGAGGGGGACTTTTTTTTGAGGGGGGAGGGTGCAGCTCTACCTGCGGCCTTGGCGTGTGCGCGCACGATACTCCCGCCCATTGCGGGGCACACCCCCTCACGCGATTACTGCCCCCATACGGGGACTCCACAGGCGGCGCAAGCGAGGGCGCTCTCACGGCGCCGCCCCGCCTACGTCGGCACACCCCTTCGGGCGCCGCGTGCCCCCTAGGGAGCTCAACCTGCGGCCCCGGCGAGGGCGCTCGCTTGGCGCCACACCGCCCATCTCGGCACACCCCCTCGCGTGGATCGTGCCCCATAGGGAGCTCCACCTGCGGCCCACGCGAGGGCGCTCGCAGGGCACGCTCTCTCGCGTGGATCGTGCCCCACAGGGAGCTCCACCGGCAGCCCCAGCGGGGACGCTCGCACTCGGCCACACCTGCCCTCTTCGGCACACCCTGTGCACGGATCGTGCCCCACAGGGATTTCGGCGCGCCTCTGCCAGCCTGCCGTGCTCTTCCTGACGTGCAGTTGCATAGGTTCGGGTCCTTCGCCAGTTTTTTTGTGTTGTTGTTATTGTTGTTGTTGCTGTTGTTGTTGCTGTTGTTGCTGTTGCTGCTGTTGCTGTTGTTGTTGCTGTTGCTCTTGCTCTTGTTGCTGTTGCTGCTGCTGCTGTTGCTGTTGCTGTTGTTGTTGCTGTTGTTGTTGTTGTTGTTGTTGTTGTTGTTGTTGTTGTTGTTGTTGTTGTTGTTGTTGTTGTTGTTATTATGGTCGTGGTTGCTGTTGTTGCTGTTGTTGCTGTTGTTGTTACTAGCGACGCTTAATGGCGCCGGTATGCATGGAGTAATCGAACTCGATTACTCCGTGTATCCAATATACAGGTCCCATTCGGAATACAAGTAGAATCTGCCTCGGATATGCGGAGTAATCGAGTGCGATTACTCCGTGTATCCAATATGCAGGTACCACTACGAATCCAATTAGAAACTGCCTCGGATACACGGAGTAACCGAGTGCGATTACTCCGTGTATCCGATACGAGTAATCGAGTGCGATTACTCCGTGTATCCAATATGCAGGTTCCAATCGGAATCCAATTTGAATCTGCCTCGCATACACGGAGTAATCGAGTGCGATTGCTTCGTGTTTCGAATATGCAGGTTCCATAGGAATGCAGTTCGAATTTGCCTCGGATACACGGAGTAATCGTGCTCCGTGTATCCAATATACAGGTTCCAATAAGAATCCAAATCGAATCTGCCTCGGGTACACGGAGTAATCAAGTGCGATTACTCCGTGTATCCAACATGCAGGTTCCAATAGGAATCCAATCATAATCTGCCTCGGGTACACGGAGCAATCGGGTGCGATTACTCCGTGCATCCAATATGCAGGTTCCAATAGGAATCCCAGGATAATCTGCCTCGGATGCAAGTGTAATCGAACGCGATTACTCCGTGTATCCGATACACGGAGTAATCGAGTGCGATTACTCCGGGTATCCAATATGCAGGTACGACTAGGAATCCAATTAGAATCTGCCTTGGATCCACGGAGTACTCGAGTGCGATTAGTCCGTGTATCCAATATGCAGGTACCACTAGGAATCCAATTATAATCTGCCTCGGATACACAGAGTAATCGAGTGCGATTACTCCGTGTATCCAAGATTGAGGTTCCAATAGGAATCCAATTATAATCTGCCTCGGATACACGGAGTACTCGAGTGCGATCGATTACTCCGTGTATTCAATATGCAGGCACCACTAGGAATCAAATTCGAATCTGCCTCGGATACACGGAGTAATCGAGTGCGATTACTCCGTGTATCCAATATGCAGGTACCACTAGGAATCCAATTCGAATCTGCCTCGGATTCGCGGAGTAATCGAGTGCGATTGCTCCGTGTTTCGAATATGCAGGTTTCAATTGGAATCCAATTAGAATCTGCCTCGGATGCACGGAGTAACCGAGTCCGATTATTCCGTGTATCCAATATGCAGGTTCCAATAGGAAATCGGCCATGACCCGGCTCCGTGCGCGGCGCTAAGGATAGAGCCACATGTTGACAACGACCAGCCCTCAATCCGTGAAGTTTTTCCTTTGTATTTTTGAAACAAATGTGCACGGCGCTAAGGCGAGAGCCACATTTTGAAAAGGGGCCGCCCTCAATCCGTGATTTTTTGGGGGGCATTTGTTTAAAACGAGTGTGCGCGTCGCTAAGGCGAGAGCCACATTTTGAAAAGGGGCCGCCCTCAATCCGGGAATCTCCCGCAATGTGCGCGGCGCTACAGCGAGAGCCACATTATGAAAAGGAGCCGTTGTCACACCGTGCAACCCTTGCAATTTTTTACAACGAATTTGCGCGGCGCTGAGGCGAGAGCCACATTTTGGAAACGACCCGCCCTCCATCTGTGAAGCTGTTATCACCTTTAAAGCTTCAGAGTCATAACTGTTGAGGAAGTCTCCGGCGAAACGCCCGGCCCGTCCTAAAATCTTGGCTCGGGTGCGACAGGGAGGAGTTATCTATAAGGAGAAGGAAATGAGGGAAAGGATGAGGAGGGGGAGGAGGAGGGAGGAGGGGGGAGGAGTGGGTAGGAGGGGGGAGGAGGAGGAGGAGGAGGAGAGGAGGAGGAGGCAGGAGGGAGGAGGGGGGGGGAGGAGGAGGGGAGGAGGAGGAGGAGTGGAGGAGGAGGAGGAGGAGTAGGCGGAGGAGGAGGAGGAGAGGTGGAGGAGGAGGAGGAGGAGGAGGAGGCATGCAATGCATGGGGCATGGAGGGAGGGCGGGAGGGGGAGAGGAGGAGGGGAGGAGGCAGGCGGAGGCAGAGGGAAGATGAGGAGAAGGAGGAGGAGGAGTAGGAGAGGAGGAGGAGGAGAGGAGGAATGGAGGAGGAGAATACAAGAGGACTGTAGGACGAGGAGGAGGAATAGAGGAGGAATAGGAATAGGAGGAATAGGAATAGGAATAGGAATAGGAATAGGAATTAGGATAGGAATAGGAAAGGATAGGATAGGAATAGGATAGGAATATGAATAGGAATAGGAATAGGAGTAGGAGTAGGGAGTAATCGGAATAGGGAATATAGGAATAGGATAGGAATAGAATATTGATATGAATATGAATCGGATGAGGAGGAGGAGGAGGAGGGAGGAGGAGGAGGAGGAGGAGGGAGGGAGGGAGGGGTGCAGGAAGGGAGGGAGGAGGAGGAGGCGGAGGGAGGAGGAGGTGAAGAGTGACAGAGGAGGGAGGAGGAGGAGAGGAGGAGGAGGAGGAAGGAGAAGGGAGGAGAGAGGAAGAGGAGGAGGAGCAGGAGGAGGAGCAGGAGGAGGAAGGGGAGAAGTGGGAGGAGGAGGAGAGCAAGAGGAGGAGGAGGAGGATGAGCAGGGTCAGCAGGGTGAGCAGGAGGAGGAGGAGGAGGAGGAGGAGGAGGAGGAGGAGGAGGAGGAGGAGGAGGAGGAGGAGCAGGAGGAGCAAGATGAGGAGGAGGAGGAGGAGGACCAGTGTAAACCCAAGAGGAATCAACGATGTTGGAATACGCCCTCCCCTGAAGCTCCCTTTTCATATGCCCACTACTTTTTTGGGGTCTGATGGAACTGCCTCGTTGGAAGGCAACTGTTTGAAGACCCTGCAGGATGCCAAAACATTGTTCTCGGGATTCCAGCGCTACGGATCATTCTGGCTGTGGCGTCATGAGGATCCTGAATCGCACCAAATCATAATCCTTGGGACTTGAGCACAGCGAATCAACATAACTTGTGCACCCTCACGAGCCATAATCCTTCCAACACATTTTTTTGGTACGTATACCATTGGAATCCGTGGAACTCTTGCATTTTTTCAAGACGAATGTGCGCGGCGCTACGGCGAGAGCCACATTTTGAAAAGGAACCGTTTTCAATCCGTGAAACGCTTGCAACTTTTTAGGACGGATGTGCGCGGCGCTAAGGGGAGAGTCACAGTTTGAAAACGACTCGCCCCCAATCCGTGATTTTCTTGCAAATTATTGAAATGAAAGTACGCGGCGTTAAGGCGAGTGCCACATGTTGAAAACTACTCGCCCTCAATCCGTGAAGCTCTTGCATTTTTTGAAACAAGAGTGCGCGGCGCTAAGGCGAGTGCAACATTTTGAGAACGACCCGCCCTCAATCCGTGAAGCTCTTGCAATTTTTTCAGACGAAAGTACGCGGCTATAAGGCGAGAGCCACAATTTGAAAACGACTCGCCTTCAACCTGTGAAACTCTTGCAGTTTTTTAGAACGGATGTGCGCGGCGCTAAAGCGAGAGCCACATATTGGAAACGACACGCGCTCAACCCGTGACACTCCCGCAATTTTTGACAACGAATGTGCGCGGCGCGAAAGTGAGAGCCACATTTCGAAAACGACCCGCCCTCCATCCTTGAACCTGTTGCCAATGTTGAAGCTTCGGTGTCTTAAGTTGTGAGGAAGTCTCAGGCGAAACGCCGGGCCCGTCCTACACATTGGCCTCGGCGTGCGACAGGGAGAAGTTTTCTGTTTATATCAGAAAGGAAAAGGAATGGAGGAGGAGGAAGAGGAAGACGAGGAGGAGGAGGAGGGGGAGGATGAGGAGGAGGAGGATGAGGAGGATGAGGCAGAGAGGAGAGGGAAGGATGAGGAGGAGCAAGAGGAGGAGGAGGATGAGGAGGAGGATGACGCAGAAGAGGAGGAATAGGAGGAGGAGGAGGAGGAGGAGGAGGAGGAGGAGGAGGAGGAGGAGGAGGAGGAGGAGGAGGAGGAGCTGGAGTTGACCCCCTTGGCGGCTAGCTCCATCGCATCGGCGCCGCTGCTGCTGCTGTTGCTGCTCTTTCCCTCGCACGATGTCATTGCGTGCTTACGTTTCTTTTTTTGTCCCACGGCATGGGCTTGTTTCCGTGCCTTGTCGAGCGAGCGAGCGAGGAGGAGGATGACGCGGAGGAGGATGACGAGGAGGAGCAGGAGGATGAAGAGGAGGAGGAGGAGGAGGAGGAGGAGGAGGAGGAGGAGGAGGAGGAGGAGGAGGAGGAGGAGGAGGAGGAGGAGGAGGAGGATCTCCTCGAGCATCCCCCACGGGCCCGCTCAAAGAAAAAGTGCCGCTGGTGCTGCCCGTGCCGCAGCCCGCACGCCTCTCGCCCGCAGGCGATAGCGTCGACCTACGTTTACAAGCCCAACTTCGCGTTCAACGCCAGCCGGGCTGCCATCGTCCACCACTGGGGCGGCGGCGGAGGAGGTTCCGAGGGGCTTGGCATCGCTCGGACGTGTGCGTTACTTCCTCGGCGAGGACCATCGAGGAGCATCCTTTGTTCATTTGGCGAAACAACCACGCGCGAAACCGGAAAAGCCACAGGGAATAGACGTCCGAGCGATGGCCAGGGGGCAGCGTGCGGCAGACTGTAGGCAGATTTTCAGCTGTCCTGCCGCCAGTTGTGCGAGCAGGCCCTGGGCCTCCGAAGATGTTTTGGGAAGATGGTGTCGCGCCCCGGGAAGCTTCCTGCGCGGCGCTGTTGACGGTTAGGGCCCCATGGGCACTGTGACCTTCCCGCTTGCCGACATCATTTTTTTTTGTTGGTCCAGGGCTACACATTGTTCGCTGGAGTAGCGGAATCTTATAAGTACGGTTGTGCTTCCCCTGGGGGGCTATGCGATGGCATATGGGTTGTTCAAGTTCGGCGCTCCCCCAACGCCATCAGGCCTAACTTGCCTGAGTGAAACGGTTCGCAGCATCCTGCGATTATGCTTTCGGACTTATCAGGGGCCGCTGACGACGATTCGGCGCGGAGCCGTCCGTACCCCGAAAGTTAGAAATCACCCCACCACGTGACGTTGGGCGTTGGGCTACGTAGCCATGCAGCATACTTACATGAACTTTCTAATCCTGAATCGTTTTTTGGCGCCCTGGATGTTTCTGATACGTCCTACAGGAGTTGGATGCGCCGATGCGTTCTGACCCACTGGTGCGAAAGTCCATGTGAGTTTCTTTTGCCGCTTCGGACCCACCATGTGGGGCACGTTGCCGTATGCAAGATTGGAGCAGTGCAGCACGTCTGCGAAAGCATCAACTTCAGGGTCATGGCGATATTTTTGGAGCGAACTTTCGGCAGCACAGATGACCTTCGACCGTTGAGTTTGACATTCACTTCCGTGAGGGAGCAGGCGCCGCAGCACTCCGTGCTACACCTGGAGCTCCGAACATGCACACACATATATATATATAGATACACATTATGTGCATGTTTTGGTGTTGCTGTTGTTGTTGTTGTTGTGGTTGTTGTGGTGGTGGTGGTTGTTGTTGTTGTTTTTGCTGTTGATGCCGTTGCTGTAGTTGTTGTCGTTGTTATTGTTGTTGTAGTTGTTGTTGGTGTGGCTGTCGTGGTTGTGGTTGCGGTTGTGGTTGTTGCTGCGGTTGTTGTTGTGGTTGTTGTGGTTGTTGTTGTTGTTGCTGTTGCTGCTGCTGTTGTTGTTGTTGTTGCTGTTGTTGCTGTTGTTGTTGTTGTTGTTGTTGTTGTTGTTGTTGTTGTTGTTGTTGCTGCTGTTGTTGTTGTTGTTGTTGTTGTTGAACTTCCATGACTGAAAATAATTATTCTTGATCCCCCCTCCTGTGACCATTCTGTATTTATCAATTGAACTGCTTCTCCCAGGGCTCGCCCCCTGTTTATTGCCAGGGAAATTCACGGGGCTCAAACTGTGTTGTTGGCCCCAACAACGGCTCCCGCTATCGCTCGAGATTTCGTCGCGATTCATGCAGGACCCACGCTTCAGTACCCGCCTGCTCGACTTGGTCGCCTTCCCGACGCGCCCGCTGTGGGTCTGCCCACCCGATCTGCCCGTCTTGTTCTACCACTTGTTTTCTGCTTCTTGCCCCCCTCCTGCTAATTTCTCTCGTGCTCCATTCTTCTCCCTCCCCCTTCCACCCGTCTTCTCTTCCCTTGTTTTAGGGGCTGCACTAAATGCACGTGACAGGTAAGGAAAATATACCCCCAAGGGGGTATGATCGAAACCGACGAGGGCGGGTGCCGAGGGTTTGGGATATACGTATTGGTTGGCACGAGAGCAGATAGGAGCGAACAGTCTTAAACTTTTTTTTTTTTTTTTTTTTTTTTTTGTTTTTTTGAATTCTCAGTCCTGAAGAATAAGTATAGTTCATCCCCCTTCCGGGGGGCACTGTGCTTTTTCAGCTGATGTGCCCTTCCCGAGGCTCGCGCCTTTCTTTTGTGAGGGCGCCGCGCCCTCGGCGCACTCAGGCATCACGCGCTCGCTGCGGAGGTCCTCGCGATTTAATCTGGGAGTCGCGCTGTCGCTCGAGATTTCCTCGCGACTCATGCAGGAAGCACGCTTCAGCAACTCGCCTGCTCGACCTGGCCGCCTGGGCCCGCCTTCCCGACCCGCCCGTTGGGGTCTATCCGCCCGATCTGCCCGTCTGGTTCGGCCACGTGTCTTCTGCTCCTAGCCCCCCTTCTGCTACTCTCTCTCGTGCTCCGTCCTCCTCCCTCCCCCTTGTTCCTTCCTTTCATCAGTCCTGTCTTCCCCTGCCTCAGGGGCTGCACGAGGTACAGGCTGCAGGCATGGAAGATCTACCCCGTAGGGGGTAAGATCGAAGACGAAGAGGGCGGGTATCGAGGGTTTGGGATATACGTGTTGAGTGGCACGCGATCAGATAAGAGCGACCAGTCTTGCTGTTGCTGTTGTTGTGGTTGTTGTTGGTGGTGGTGTTGTTGTTGCTGCTGCTACTGCTGCTGTTGTTGTTGTTGTTGCTGCTGTTGTTGTTGTTGGTCTTGTTGTTGCTGTTGCTGCTGTTGTTGTTGTTGTTCTTGTTGTTGTTGTTGCTGCTGTTGTTGTTGTTGTTGCTGTTGTTGCTGCTGCTGCTGTTGCTGTTGTTGGTGTTGTTGTTGTTTTCGTTGTTCCTTGTTGTCGCCGTCCTCGTCGTCGATGTTGTTGCTCCTTTTCTTTGTGCGGGGGAGTGCGCGTGTCAGGACAATGTGTCTCAGAGCGGCCGAGGCCAGGGGGGGGACTCGGGAGGGACAAACACACAGACACAATGAATCTTCGAGCCCCCAGAAAATATGGGAAACTATGGGCAGTGTGGGGGGGGGAAACCAAAACCCAGAAAACAGGGGAAAATAGAGGGAATCCTGTTATTTGTGTGTATTTATGATTAGTGTGTCCCAGGGCCCCTTCAGTGACGAGACTCGGCCCCGCCCTTCTTCTGTCTGCCCTCCCGCGCCCCCTCCCCCCCTCCCCGACGGAGGGGCGGACCTCACACGCTACCTGGGCTTTTTGGCTGCCCGGGCAGGCAGTGCCGTTTTCAATACGTGCTCCGCGTGCGGACCATGTATTAAACATGCAGGGATTTAGTATCAAAACAACGATGAGTTCATACATACATGTATTCATTCATTAACCGTGTATGAAAATCATTTTTTCGTTTATAAAAAGAACAAAAAACTCCCATGTATAAAAAACTGCCCTGTAGTGGGATGCATAGATGTACGCCGATGTGCGTTGCGGTTGTCATGGGGAAGCGCTCTGTTTAGGCTCGGCTCAAATATCACGGTAGCGGCAGTTGCGCATGTGAGGCTTCACCGCAGGGGTTATGCATCGCACGTGCTCGTTGCTGCGAGCTGACAGGAGGGGTGAGGAGCAGCTGGGTCGGGAGGAAGCCACTACCACAGTGCTGGAACCAAGTTGTTCAACAAGGGCTTCCGGCTCAGAGGCGTTGTCATGCGGCATTCGCACCAGGCCGCCCTCAGGAACGGCAAAGCAGGCGCGGACCCACAGGGAGGGGAACGCAGGAGGAGGAAGAGGATGGCATGCCACTGGGCGTGCCAACATGCATCTGAGTCGTTAGCATCGCTCCCTCCGCCTTCTTTTAAGCATCTGTTCGCGCGACACTGCGCGCGTTCGGCTCAAGTAGCTGCAAAAGGACTGGACGCGCTCGCGTCTACCGGGAAACGGTGCGCCCGCCTCTCTCTTAGCGCGCGCGCATCACCACCCATATCGAAGACGCCTACGGCGAATCACCGCCGCCCCCTGCCTTCGTGGAAGCGCCTATGTGGCCGAACGTTGAGGCCAGACCTGCCAAGCCATCGGACCATGGGTTCCCCGAATCGGTTTGGAAAGCCTTCGGGGAACACGTGGGCGTCTTGATGGTCATCGTCGCCGTCTTGGAGGCCTCTTGGGCGATCTTTCGGCGATCTTTGGGGGCTCTTGGGCCGTCTCGGGCCGTCGGAAGGCCGAAAAAAGGGAAATGCCCAAATCCATCAAAAACCTTGGGAAAATCAGTGATTTTGGCATCTTTTGGCCTTCCTGGAGGCCCTCTTGGGGGCCTCTTGGGCCCTTTTGGGCCAGCTTCGAGCCAACTTCGGCCATCTTGGTGGGTTCCTGGCACGTCTGACGCCGTCGGGAGCCGTTTTGGGGGCCTTTCTGGGCCAACGGGGGACCCTCTTGGGGCGCTCCAGGGCCGTCTTGGAGGCCATCTTGGGCGTCTTGGAGGCCATCTTGGGCGTGTTGGAGGGCTCTTGGGCCGTCTTGGGGCCCTCTAGGGGCCATCTTGGAGGCCACTTGGGCCATCATGGGGCTCTCTTGGGGGCCTCTTGGGCGATCTTGGGGGCTTCTTGGGGCCGTCTCGAGCCGTCGGAGAGCCGAAAAGGCGCAAATGCCAGAATCCTTCAAAAACCAAGGAAAAATCAATGATTTTGGCCTCTTCGGACTCTCCTGGAGGACCTCTTGGAGGCCTCTTGGGCCGTCTGGGAGGCCTCTGGGGGGCCTCTTGGGCCGTCTTGGGCCGTCTTGGACTCTCTTGGGCCGTTTTGGAGGCCGTCTTGGACCATCTCGGGCGGACTTGGAGGCCATCTTGGGCCATCTTCGCGATTTTTTGAGGATGTCCCGAGCGAAACGGCCGTTCTTGGAGGATTTTTTGCGGTCGTTGAGCACGTTTGGGGAAATTCCGGGTGGCCGGCGGGTTCTGCCGGAGCCCACTGGGGAGTTCTTTTGGAAAAAGAACCAAAACCAAAACCTGACAGCTCATCCAGCACGCCGTGCACCCCTGCAAGCAGGGGGCGGCGGATCGAATGGCCTTCGGCCCATCCCGCCACCGTGCCTTGGTTGTGGGTGGTTCTGAGGCCTCCTGGGTGGTCCTTGGGTCCTTGGGATCTCGTCGAGGCCTCTGGGGGGCCTCCTGGAGGCAGTCTTGAGGCCTCTGGTTTTGGGGCCTCTTAGGGCCTCGCGGGGGCCTCTTGGGAGCCTCTCGGGGCTTCCCGGGGGCCCGTTGGGGCCTCCTGGGCGCCTCGGCTCGGAGTTTCTGTTCGTGTCCCCCCCTCTTGGGCCTCTCTTGGGTCGTCTCGGGCGCCTCGCGGCGCTACTTGGGGCCCTCGTTGGCCGTCTTGGGACCCTCTTGGGCGCCTCTGGGGCCGCCTTGTGGCGGTCTTGGGGGCATCTTGGGACGTGGTGGAGCGTCGGAACCCAGAAACGCGGAGAACACCAGAAACACTTGAAAGCAACCTTTGGAACATCAGTGATTTTGGCCCCTCGGGGCCCTTCTGGGAAGGTTCGTGGGTCTCCATTGGGGCCATCTTGGGCGTCTTGGACCGATCATTGGGCGGCTCGGCACCCATTTGGACTGTCTTGGGGGCCTCTTGGGGCCCTCTTGGTCCGTCCTGGGGCCTTCTTGGGCCCCAAAAAGTCATACGAGAAGATGCCGCGGAACCCGGGGGAATTGCGCTAAGCCCAACAAGATTTGAGAATGTGGGGTCTGGGCACTCAGGCTTCCTCAGGATGGAGGATTGCGGCCTCAGGGATGCGGCAAATGATTTGAGGGCACGCCCACTCCGTGCTCGGCGGCACGGTGGCAGATCTTTGCTTCTTCTTGCCGGAACCTTACCTCCACTTCGCACAATATCGTTGAGGAACCACCCATCTACAAGATCCATGAGGCGGGACCCCCAGAGGTAAGAGATGAGAGCAAGGCACGCGTTCAGTCGTCGGGGAATGACGATTACCTGATGAACTGATGGTTGCCAGCCGGATCTGTGATGCATAGAGATCTTGGCGTTGTGCGTCCCGGCAGTCACCATACGAATTTTATTGAGAAGAGTCGAAGTGGATGTGGTGGTTCTGAGATGCAAGACGAATCTTTGACATGCCTGGTCGAAAAGGCCCTAAGCGGGGGGTGGGCCCAGATATGTACAACATGTTTACCCCCAGAAAGAACATTAAGGCCCAAGACCCTGAGAGGACTTCACATGATGGAGGAAAGTCCCTCCCGACCTCAGGACAAGGATCGAACATGTCTACCATGTCTCGACCCATGCCGGGAACGCCTACCGAGAATTGCACCAGGCAGACTAAGAACATTGTTCGTATTGTGGATGAGGTTCTCTTATCAGGAGACGAGGTGGTTGCCTCATTGGGTGCTTGCGTCATGGCAGATGGGACATGATGGGTCCGGCAAGCACTTCTGCTGAGATCGAGGACACAGCTTCCGAAGTCGGCAAGGTGTAATCTGACTGTCCGAAGGAAGGATGACATGGCAGGTAGCCGTGCTGTTGGCACCAGGCCTGATCACTCACCTGACGGGTATACCGAGGGCACGCATCGGTTTCCATGGAGCGCCCGCCAGGCTTGGGCCCGAGGTCGTTCTCACCAAACCACGTTTTGCGAAAGGGGGTCCGTCTCCTGAGGCCGACAGTAGCAAAACACCTCCCGTCCGGATGCTTCCAGAGCGCGAGCACGCCCGGGACACTTCTCTGGTCCAGAGGCGACGACCGGGCGGAGGCGCGCCCGAGGGGGGGGGGGGGGGGCGGGGCCGGCCCAGCCGCGTGGTCTTCCGCACTGTTGCGCGGGGGCTGCGATGCCGCGGCGTCGTCCTCGGGAGGGGGGCGGGCGAGGGGTCGGCGCGGCGGCCACAGCGCACGGAGCGGACACCCGGGCTGCGCTGCCGCCAGGCGGGCTGCGGCCTTGGTCCCCTTACCTTTTGGCAGCGCGCCGTCGGGAAGGCGTCTGTGCACGCCACGTGCTCCGCACCTGGCGTGTGTCCTGCGCGTCGTTCGGAGGCCTGCCTCGCCCGCTCCCACTCCGCGCGCGTGCGCCCCTGCGCCGCCGGGCGTGTCCACGGCTTCGGGCTCACGGGGCCGGAAGCCACAGACACGCCAAGAGTAGGACCATGGCCATGACCGTGGGGTGCGCCTCCTGGCAGGCTACGGCCGGGAGCTTCTGCTCAGCACGCCTCCACGGCGGGGCCCCCGAGACGCGCTGTGCCCCGCGAGCGGGTATAGCGTGCTGCTCCGGCCTGTGGGGCGGCAGTCTCGGGCGAGCTGGGCGCCCGGGGGCCGCGCGAAGCGGGCAGCGTGTCGCACCCGGGCGCGGTGGCTCAGAGCTGGCGGAGCGGCGCGCTATCCGAGAGCTCCCGGTCATACGCTTCAACTCCGCGGAGGAGCACCCAACAAAAGTAGTCAAACAATTGTCCGGGGACGATTTTTTGACTATTTTTGACTCTTCTTGAGTACTTTCGCCCAAAATCCGCCTGTAGGGGACATGCCCGACCTAATCCTAATCTGACATGCGCCGGCTTCCCTTCCGAGCAGTCCCGCCAGATATCCGGCGCAAAATCCCGGGCTCGAGTCGGCCCAGTCCAGCTTCACGGCCCTTTGATCGAGTTGCATCGCCCTTCATCTTTCTTGCGAAGACTTCCCAAGAGTTGCCTCCCATCGGCATCTCCCAGGAGTTGCCTCCTGTCGGCCCAGTCCAGCTTCACGGCCCCCTGATCGGGCTGCGTCGCCCTTCATCTTTCTTGCGAAGGCTTCGAAGTGGAGAAGGGCCCCACGTGAACAGCAGTTGGACGTGGGTTAGTCGATCCTAAGAGACAGGGATGTTCCGCACACGCAGGCTTTGCCTCGTCTCTCGAAAGGGAATGGGGTTAATATTCCCCAACCAGGACGTGGACACTGTATGGCAACGTAAGAGAATTCGGTGGCGCAGGGGGGAGCCCGGGAGTCGCCTCCCATCGGTATCTCCCAGCCATATTTCTGCACGAGATGTGCGTCGACCACACACGGGCGACGACGGGCACGCTCTCGGAACTCTTATGTAGCACAGGCCCCGCGGCGGGCGCTCTCTGGCCGTGCCGCTCGGGGCCCGCTGCGCTGCAGGCTCTGCGTGCACAGTGGAGGCCCATGCCAAGAAGCACCCTGCTTGCCCCCAGGATGCCCTGGGTTTCCTGGGTTTCAATGGTCTTGCTATGGAAGGCGCGGCGCTCCCACACCAGAAGTCCATGGACGTCCCGGGGTCTCACAGGGTTGGGTCTCTTCTGGAGGCTCTCTTGTGGACTGGCCTCCACTGTGCTGCATGTTCGTGGCGGACCCTTGCGCTGTGTGAGTGTGCCCCCGCGCCTCGCCCTCTCCTCTGCGGCCGCCCTCCCTCTTACCAGTTTGAAAGATATCCCTATCCCTACGTTTGACATCGCCTCACCTCGATGATGATCTTAAGGATTCCCTCAGTTTCTGAGGGCCTATCCCTAAGACTGTCCTCGCTTTTTGCTCGCCCCTCTTAGGGATAGGGATACGTTCGAGGCTGGTTACCCTCCCCCTCCCCCCCCTCATGCCCTGCGGGCTCAATCTCGCGAGGCCGCGGCCCCGCCTCGCCCCGGCGCGCGCGCGGAGTGCCTCCCGCCGCGCGTGCCACGGCAGAGGGTCCGCGGCGGACGTGCGCCTCCAGCATCAGTCGCCGCCCACCAAACCGCTCCAGCCCAACCCGAAGGCCTCCATTTGCCCTCCAGTTCCAGGAAAGCGAGCTCTCGCTCGCTTTCCTGCCTCTCTCCCTGCTGCTCCTGGTTCTTCCTCGCTCCTCCGTGCCGTCTGCTTCCCTCTTCCCGCTGTTGCTGCTGCTGTCCATGCGACCCGCTGTCTTTGTTTAGCCCTTCCGCAATTCTCGCTCCATGGAGTGGAGCTGCGGTTCTTGCCGATTGGAGTTGGAGGTTCGTTGCGTGGAAGAAAATTGCCCTCCATTTCCAGTTGGGGCGGGGGGGGGGTGTTGGGGAACATTCTGGTAAAAGACACATGGAACCCGTAATTACGCCCCCAGCCCGAAATTCGGGTCCTCGGGTTGGGTTGGGGTGGTCTGATGGGTAGTCCTATCAGCGCATCCTGTCAGCATGTCCTCCTGCGCCCTGCCTCGAAGCCAGGACGGCGGCCTCCCGCCGCGCGCGAGCGCAGGCCAGCAGCGGTGCGACAACCGCAAGGGGGGCGCTGGCGGGCATGGCGGCAGACAGGCGCGCGGCCCGGCGGGCGGGCGGTGCTGAGCGCGCGGTTAGGCCGCACAGTAGGCCTGCTGCTGAGCTCGTCGTCGTCCTCGTCGTCGTCGGAGCGGAAGGAGTGGGAGGTCGGAGGAGGAACAGGCTCCGATGCCACTACCCCTTGCCTGGCTTTCGCCTTTTTGGGCCTCCTGGGATGCCCCCGTCGCCGCCGCCGGATTCGGTTCGAAATCCTGGTCAGACGGCACCCTGGGAGAGGTCCAGGGAGTAGCGACGTCGCTACCTTCTGGCTTCCCCAAGGATAGTGGTGATGGTGGCAGAGACAAGGCTGTTAGAGAAGGAGGAGGAGCTGGAGGAGCAGGAGGAGGTGGAGGAGGAGGAGGAGGAGGAAGAAGGGAGGAGGATAAGGATGTTGATGATGATGATGCTGATGATGATGATGATGATGATGATGATGATGTTGATGATGATGATGATGATGATGATGACGATGACGATGACGATGACGATGACGATGATGATGAGGATGAGGAGGAGGAGGATGAAGATGATGATGAAGATGAAGATGAAGATGAAGATGAAGATGATGATGATGATGATGATGATGATGATGATGATGATGATGATGATGATGATGATGATGATGATGATGATGATGATGATGATGATGATGATGATGATGATGATGATGATGATGATGATGACGATGATGATGATGATGATGATGATGATGATGGCCGTGTTTTCACATCTCATCTCAGGTGGAACTGAAGGCCGTCGTGGTCACGCATATCGCCGCGACCGCGTCGGCTCTTTGCTGGAGGGCGAGGCCTCCACCCGCATGCGCTTCACTGGTTCCGGGACCGGCCTCCCGCTCGCAAGCAACGATACCCTGCTGCTCCTGGCTCGCTGGTGGCTGCCGCCCTCCGAGCCCGCGGTCCCAGGCGCGCCCGCGGCGGCCGCGTCGGCGGCCGCGCCCCTCCCGCTGCTCAAGGCGGGCCCGCTCTCGGCGCTGGGTGACGCCGCCGAGCTCCTGGTGCCGCTGGTTGACTGTCTGGCCACCGGCCTGGGCGCGAGGGAGGCAGCGTGCGCCTGCCCCTCGCCTTGCCCGTCCTGCCCCTCGGGCGTGACGGGCCCCGGGCCTCGGGCCTCCCTGGCCTGGGAGGCCGCGCGGTGCGGCCTGCCGGCTGCCGGCTGCCGCTGGGCTTCGCCTGGGCTCACAAGCGCGTCGTGGTTGCGCTCTCGTCTCGCGGACTGAGGCACTACGCTGTCCTCACGCCCTTGACGTGCACGCCGAGGGGTACGATGCTGGGGGCGCCGGCCCCCGCAGCTGGTGGGAGGAGGGGGGCCCAGCCGCTGCGCCGTTGGGCGCCGTCACTCCAGTTGGACTGCGGCACTCTGACCTCGCCGCGATGTCGACGGTCGCCCAGCTGGCGCGGGCCTGCGTCCGCGGAGCCGCGAAGATGGCCGAACCGGAGCGCGACGATGGTGCGGGCAGTGCTGCGGCCGCTCTTGCTCCTGGTGGTGCTGGAGGCCATGATGCCCTTCCTGCCCGCGCCGCGGCTGCAGACGGTGCTCCTTTGGGAGGTGGCATCGCCGCGTATGCGCCTGCTGCCGCAGGCTGCGCCGCTGCCGCCGCCCCCGCCCCCGCCCCGGCAGCCGCTGCTGGCGCGGCGAGCTCTTTTGCCGCGGGCGGAGGGCTTGTGGGGCCCGCCGCGCTGGTTGCTGCCCCGCCTGCCGCTGGAGGTGACAGTGCTGTCGCTGCCGCACCCCCCGCGGTCGATGGCAGGGCCGCCGCCAGGATTGGAGACCTTCGGACCCTCGCGACCGCGTGCGAAGTGCATGGGCTACGCCATCGGGACGACAGGGACTGGCTCGAGCTCACGCGGCCGACGAGCCTTCCCGTTCGGGGCGGGCATGGCCCCGCCACGTATCATTGGGACCCGACGTACCAGGTGGAGAACGGAGGCTCGCCGAGGGGACATCACCTGGCCTGGAAGGCCGCTTTCGGGTCGACCGTGCCAGTGGACGACCCCATCGCCTCGGTGCATCACGAGTTCTCGCGGATCGTGCAGGTCGCCCTGTCGTACGATCAGATCGATGGGTCGAACGCTGCTTCGATGGAGCTCATCGCCCGACAGCCCCAGCACTGCGAGAAAAGGTACACAGACAGGCTGGTGTGCTCGCGACCCCCCGGCAGCGGAGGCTACGAGTTGTTCTTGTTCTTCTTTACGGGAATTCAGTCCACCTGTGGGCTCATGGTGTGGCTTGCCCTGTCCGAGTGGATCTCTATGCGGCTTGCCGCCGGCTCAGCCATCGCGAAGGATCGCCGCAAGGCGCGTGGCGAGCGGCAGCTGCCCCGCCCGCCCGCTGGTGGCCGAGGCGGTGGGCAGGGCTGCCGCGCGGGCAAGGCTGGCAAGTCTTAGCCTGCGCTCTTCATCGTGCTTGCGGCGGCCGCCAGGACTTTGGCCATCCTGGAGGGCTTCCCTCTGGCCCCTTGCTCCTGACATCGTGGTCCCAGCGCCATGGCCGTCAGTCGCCAGCGAAACGTTCTCCCTCTTCCACTTCTTCCTCTTGGCGCCCCCCGCGATGCTGGCGGTCGCGTTGGTGCCCGGCTTGGGTTGACTGGGCCAGCGATGGTGTCGGGGCGCTCGACTGGCTTGGCGGGGGCGGGACGCCGCCGATTCGGAAGCGCCCCGCAATTTTGCAGCAGCGGTCGCTCGACTACATCGCTGCGCAGTATGTCAAGTTCGGCGGCCCGCTCTCTGACATCTCTCGCTCGAGCTCGCTCTCCGATATCTGCTCCAGTTGCCCGCTCCACCCTGCGGGGCGCGGCGACGTGGTCTCCTACAGCAAGGACCTCGTGTCCTGGCCTTCTGGCGGCTCTGCGCCGGGGGCGCTTCGTGACGCACTTCTGGAGGCTGACCCTGTGTGGCTACAGGATTGGATGGCCCACGTGCTACGCCCGCCCGAGGAAGCAGCGGCCCTTTGACGAGATCTCGGGCTCACTCAATCCAACGCTGATTCTAAACTACGACACCCTGCCACCTACGTGGAGTTCATCAGCGAGCTCCTTGGCAGGGGCATGCTGCGCCTCTCCCCTGCTCGCGGCCGCCGCGGGCTCCTCGGGGTCTTCGTGGTCGCGAAGAAGTCGGGCCAGCAGCGGCTCATCTTCGACGCCCGGGTCTGCAGCGCGCCATTCGAGCCGCCGCCCTGCGCCGAGCTGCCCACTGGTAGCGCTTCCGCTCGCATGGAGGCGCAGGGCAGCGGCGACGCGTGGTTCGGCAGCGGGGATATCTCCAACGCGTTTTACGCCATGCAGGTGCCCGAGGACCTGTGCGAGTACTTCTCGCTGCCGCTGGCGTGCGCTGGGCTCGCTGGTGTTGCTGAGTTGGGCGGTATCGCGATGCGCGAGTCCGACTGGTTGCTCCCCGAGCTCGCGATCTTGCCGATGGGCTGGCCCTGGGCCCTGCGCCTCTGCCAGTGCGTCTCCGAGGCCGCGCTCGCCCGGGCCAGCGTCGGCCCCGCTCGGCAGGTCCGCGACCGCAGCCGTGGCGCGGTGCTCGCGCCCAAGCGGCCAGCCGCTGGCGCCGCGCACGTGGACAATTACCTCGTTGCTGGCCCGCAGCGCGCCAAGGTTCAAGCCGTGGGCCGCGAGGTCGAGCGGGGGCTCTCCTCCCTCGGCTTTGCCGTCCACGGGCACGTGGAGGCTACCAGGTCTACTTCGTGGGCCTCGAGCTTGATGGGCACCACCGCTCCGCGCGGGTCTCTGCACGGCGAGCCCGGCGCCTTCGCCGCGCCATGGAAGAGCTCCTCCGACGCCCGACGATACGCGGGCCCATTCTGGAGATTGTCATCGGCCACTGCACCTGGGTCGTGCCGCTCAAGAGATGCTCGCTGGCCATCTTCGACTCTGTTTACGCTTTCATCTTGGCGGCGAAGGACGAGGCAACGCCGCTCTGGCCCTCGGTGCGCCGCGAGCTCTGGCACGTCCGCTCTCTACTGCCGCTCTTCGTCGTCTTCGCGGGCGCGGACTGGCGCAGCGAGATCACTGCCAGCTACGCCTCAGGCCAGGGCTGCGGGGTCTGCCGCCGGCGCTGCGACCGCGAGGCTGTGGGCGAGATTGGCCGCACCGCCGAGGATGGCGATGCCTTTTCGAGGAGTCGGCGCGCGCCCGCGACCATGCGCTTGGCTCCGGCTCTCCTGGAACAGTACTTCGCGATCCTGGCTGTCTGCCGACGGACGAGGCCAAGAACTGGGACAAGTCCTTCGGCGAGGTCGACCCGAACCTGCTCACCGAGGATGGCCGGGCCATCACCCGCTCATTCCCGTGGAGGGACTCCTTCGACATCCATCGCGCTGAGGGGCTCGCCGTCGCGTCCGCGCTGCGCCGCCAGCTCAGGGCTGCGGAAGCTTTCGGTAAGAGGATCGCGTGCCTGGTCGATAATATGTCACTCGCCCTCGCCATCGGCAAGGGCCGCGGGTCCTCGCCCCAGCAGCGCAGCGTCCTGCGGGAGATCTGCGCCTACTCCTTGGCCTGCGGTCTGCGCGTCATTGCGAGGTGGGCCCCCGGCGAGCCCAACCCCGCCGACGGGCCCTCGCGCGGCCTCAGCTACATCGAGGGCGTCGACGCCGAGTTGGCTATGGCTCTTGGTGACCGTCTCCGTGATCGTCGAGACTCCTGCGGGGGCGCGGGGCCGATCAGCCCGGCCCGCGTTGCCGGCGGGGCTGGCGCCTCCGCTCCAGCCCGCCCTCCTGGATGCTGGTGCAGGGATTCTGACAGCTGCTGCTCCGCTGGCGGCAGCCGCCTGCCAGCGCGAGGCCTCGAAGGGGATGCTCCTGATGGGGATCGCCTACGTCGAGCCGCGGCCTGCCAGCCTGGCCACGCTGACGGACTACCGGAGGATGGCGGGCGCCTTCGTCGGGCAATGCTCGCAGCTCCACCCGGGCTGGAGCCGCTGGGGCCAACGGGGCGTCATTGTGGTGACCTACTTCGACTCTCCGAACCTCCGCGACCCCAGCGGCGGCGACGCTTCGCGTCTACCGGCTGCCCAGAGGTTCTTCCTGCCGCGGCTCCGCCGCTGGGGCGACCAGACGCTCGGCCGTGCCTCCCGCAGCTTGGTGGGCTGGGGGGAGTGCGCCCCCCGCGGGATGCGCATGCCGCTACCGTGGCTGCCGGCGGCGCCGCCGACCAGCGCGGTGCTGCGCCGTGGCCAGATCAATCAGGCCTTCGCCGTGATCCAGAGCGTCGCGTGCTGCCTCTGGCCGTCGGAGTGCGACCAGCTGACGACCGTGCAGGTCGCCCTTCCCGTCGTGGCGGACGCCGAGTGCGCGGGGCTCGCCGCGCTGCTGCTGTATCCAGGGGAGCTGGGACGACCAGGGGAGATGGGCCTCCGGGACTTCACCGCGGTGATCCACCCCCTTGTCTTCTTGGTGCCCGCGCTCCTCGGCCCGAGTCGCCGAGCGCGGTCGGGGTCGTCGCGGATCTGGTCTCTCCCTCCATGCTCGCTCGGCATAAGCATGATGAAGGGTCGAGCCGCCCTCGACGTCCAGCTGCGCGGCGGCTGGGCCTCAGACAAGAGCTTCAGGCAGCGCGCCATGCGCGCTCGCATCATCGCCAAGCTGCGGCGCGTCGGCCAGCGCGTTCTCTCATTCGGCCAGCTGATGGACGCCGCGATGCCGCTGACCTTCCAGCTGGCTGCGCCGCTGCCCGAGCTCTGCCTGACCTTGCGCGGGCGGTAGAGCTCGCTGGTCCATGCGGGGGGGGGGGGCCCTCGACGAAATCGATCCGTCGCCACCTCCTCCGCGAGCTTCACGACAGCTTCAGACGTCACAGAGACCCCCCATCGGACTGCTGTCCTGGACTTGTTCGCCGGGACTGGCCGCCTGTCAGCAGCGCTGCGCTGCCGCGGGCTCGCCGCTCTGCCGATGG